TAGTGGATTCTCGGAATAGAGGATTTTTTTAGGGGGGTCTCGTGAATGGGTTGGGGTAAAGATCATCGCCCCGTTATTGTCATAAACAACTATCCGGTAGCCTTTTAAATTTCTTTGTATGGTAACAACGTCTCGTAATGACATTGGTTTTGCATCCTTAGGACAAAACTTTGGTAGGCATGTCGCGGCAAGTTCTAATCCCAAAAGATTGGCATATTCCCAACTTAGACATATATGATCAAGTTTTTTGCTCAGTTTTTCGTATTCCCCATTCGAATAGCACTTGGGATCTCGGGCACTAAGTTGTTCTAGGTCTGCATTTACGATTGCACGAGCAAGGGCTCGAGGAGACACAAGTTATCGGGGATAGGGGTTCCCCTTCAGTAAAATTTGTCTTATCCCTTCTTCCACCCCCTAATAAAGGTGATTTAATGTTGACAACGATTCTCATATTCTCATCTAAAGTATTGTGCTCATTGCTTTGGGCCATGTTTTCAAAAATCATGAACAACGCGTAACTATCATTCATGTCACGCGTCCTAGGGGAAGATAGCATCCTTTCTTGCCAGCCTCTAGCAGAGATTTATGTTCTAACGCAACGGAAAATTTTGACTGTTTCTATGGGCTCTCCCTGTCTCGGTAACGTATTCATTCAAAAATAGAATCCAAAGCAATTTGAAAGGTTTTTCTAGGAACCCTAACTCTATCTTGCCAGTTAGATTTCTCCCTAAGTGATTACATTTTCATAGACATATGCAGTCAAATTCTTATGAAACTTCTAAGGAAGGCCAGAATTGTCAAAGGAATGACGTTCTTCGTTAGTATAAGCCTAACCCTCTCCCTTGGCGTTAAAAACCAACATACCCAGAACCGGCCTGTTTTCCTGGTGGGGACGGTGAACGGCTGTAGTCGACCAAAGTGGCGGGGTTGTTTCTTCTGACGGTGACGGTGTAAGGCTGTAATCAACCAACCGTTGGTAGTCTTCCGGTGGGCGTAGGAGAAGGGCCTGTTCTGTTCAACCAACCGATCTGGTCTCGAACGTTTCATGGTTGTACGGTAGCGTAAGAAGGTGGAAAGTAAGTAAAACGGGGTATGGCAAGGTCAACGGCAAGGTAAGAGGGAAGGTAAGAGAGAGGCAAAAGGGAAAGCAAGAGAGAGAGAGGTAAAAGGAAGGGTAAGAGAGAAGTCAGAAGGGAAGGCAAGAGGGAAGGTAGGAGGCAAGGCTAAAGGTAAGGCAAACGTAAGGCAAACGAAAAACTGTAGCTAGAATAGAGGATCGGGAGGGATCCCAAAATGGCTCAACCCACTCACGAGCCCTTTTATTTGGTGGGATCTGACAGATGGGAACCGTTCCTCCGTGCGCGCTTGATTAATGAAACCTCTTTCCGGACGGGACCCCCCTGGTTGGTATAAAAAAAAGGAGCTCGCGCACTCCTCCCCTCATTTTGCCCTGTGTTTTCACACGGGAAGGTGAGCGGTGAACGGCTGACCCAATTTCCTCCACCGGGGAAAGGGCCCATTTTTTCTCCCCAATTTGACCTTGGAGAAGCATCTTTCGTAAAAGATGGCAGGAAATAACCGTTTTACTATTGTAAAATAAGTTCGCACACTCTTCCGTTATTTTTGCGATGTGTTTGGAGGTGAGGGGTAACGGTTGACTTTGGGGGAAAGTCATTTTTCTTCCCGGTTTGGTCTTGGTGAAACATGTTTGGTAAATAAACATATTGGTGTTGTAAAATAAACTTTTTGAGGGCCGGGAAATAAATCCGTATAGTATAGTAGTGGACTTGATAAATAGACCGGGTGTGAAAGCCTTAACCTTCAGCTGAAATTTTACTTTAACCGATGCACTATATATGTTTACCCCGCTAAGCTCTAGCTCCTTTCCCCTTCGAGTTGAATTCACGACTTGACACACACACACACTGACGCCTCAAGAAAATTATTATAGTTGATTATTTTGGGTTGTAATTAAGATTCTTAGTTAACAATTGCTGCTCTAGCGAATGGCGCGGCCTCAATCCCGATAGAGCAACAGAAATGTCGAAAAATTTTCGGAATTACCAGCTGGGGGTAAGGTAATAATGGTTAGCTATTTTGTGGTTCCTCTCAGGTGGATCTAAAAGTGCAAAAATTGTAATTTTAACTCAAGGATTGGCTAGAAAGAGCAGCTGGTCCGTTTGGGATAGTGATGTTACGCATACCAAATTATGCAAATTATGATGCAAAGTACAAAATAACCGATTTTTTGTGCTTTGCATCCAAATTTGCGTGTGATCCCGACGTTGCGTCGGAATGCGTAACATCGCTTGGGACAAAAAGGACATTTTGCTTTTTTGTTCTGCATGAATTTTTGCAATTTTTGCACAAACTGCTTTGAGTACTTGATATTTCTTATGAAACGACAGCAGGATCCCCAAATAGGTGTCTTGGGTTCTGCAATATCTTGACAATGGTCCATTATGTGGGCGTGGGGAATCAGGCTCATTCAGCGAGCAAAACCGGTCCCAAATTTAGTGTAGCATTGTTTCAAGGTGAATCCGGGCTTATTTAAGGCAATTTTCTATGCACCCGACGTTCCTCTACAGCAATTCTAGCTTCTTTCAGATGTTCTGCAACCGCGACTCGCACATGTACGGCGGAGTCCTGCTGTCCGTCGTTGGGGTCAGCACGAATATGTTCTTGCTCTTTGTAATCTTCACGTCCTACTCGATGGAAACCCGGGGAACACGAACGATGCTGACCATTATTTCGCTCTACAATATTTATTTCTCCATCGTCATCAAGACGGTCAACCCGGTATGTTGCTATTCGAAAGTGTAGGAAGAAGAGGTTTAGGATAGGGCATAGAGGGTGTGAGGACGGGAGAAAGAGAAGGAGAGCGGGGGAGAGGGAGAGGGCGAGAGAGTGATAGACCGAGAAAGAGAAAGAGAGAGAGAGAGAGAGAGAGAGAGAGAGAGAGAGAGAGAGAGAGGGAGAAATCATCCATCTATTTCAGGTCTACATCTTTGATGAACGCGGGTTTATCCTCATGTCTCGCACCTTCGTAGACCTATATGCTGCGGCTAAAGTCGGACTTGCAATCTTTGTGAATGGCTTTGGACAATCCTTATCTCTTTTAATGATCCATTGCTTCTATCGCTATGTAAAAATCACTGGGTAACTTATGGCTTTCTCCACGTTGCAATTTTTTTAGCAAATTCAAAGCGGCCATCGAGACAAAGAAAGGAATTTTTTGCATCGTCATTTGCCACATTTTCAATCCGTTCGTGGTTGAGGCCATGGTATATCTCACCATGCAGGTTTGTTACAGGCGAGCTAGTGAAAAACGTTTCAGAATCGAAAAATTTTTGATAACTTTTTCCTTGAGCCCTCCGAACTCCGAACCCAATTCTCCTACGTCGAGACGAAAAACCTGCTGAACCTGTCGCTGACCTCTGATGTTTACTATTACGGCGCGGTGTATTCGGTATGGTTTTTGGACTTGGACTCAATTAAAATCTGTTTTTGCAGTTTCCGGGTCCGCAGGGAGTCGAGCAGTACAACTGGAAGATGATTTTGGGCACGGTGGTCGTTCTGGGGATACTGTCGATGCTCTACAGTACAACGTGCATTATTGGAATCAAATTGTGAGCCACGAAATTATCTAAAAACGTACAAAACGCCAAAAAATATTCTTAGTTTATTTAGATAAAGGTTTTTCTCAAAAGCTTTAAACTCTGCTCAAAAGCCTGAATAAAAACTAATAAAAGATCGAGTTTGGAGAATTCAAAGCAATACAGTAGTAGGTTTTTGAGCTTGAGCCAAGTTCAGACATTTCTAGAACACCACTTGCCTCAAAAATATTCGAAAATATTCGTGGGAACTGTCTACGATCACCGTACTCGCGTCAAAACTAGCACACCGCGAAAAAAGACGCGTAGAAAAACAAATATTCGGTTCAAGTTCTGAGGCCATAGATGGGATTTTCCCAGACCTAGGAATCGGTAAGTTCGCTGGAAATGCGTACTTCACCGTTCTTTGGCTATAATTTTTAGGCCAGGATAAGTATTCGCATAGCTTCCGGTGCAAGGAAGACATATCCTAGAGCGAGGGAGAATTTTTGAGATTCAACTATATTTTTTAGGTATTTCTACGTCAAGCAGTCACTCACCAGCAACGCGGCGCGAAAACGTCAGTTACAGTTGTTGATGCTGTTACTGGCGCAGGTATGGTAATTACTCTATTTTAATGGTGTTAAAGCCAGATCGCGAAAATCGGTTCCTAGAAATGTTTAACTTTAGGCAATTTCACCATGCATTTTCGAATTCATCCCCGCTTTTGTGGTACTGGTTGGCGGGCCGACCGGTGGGTTTTTGAATTTTTACGGATTGCGTTGCTTTGCAGTTGCACAGGCTCAAACACAGGCCTTGAATTGGGCTTGGGCTTTGCCTTTAGCTTAGGCTTAGGCTCAGGGTCAGTCTCAGGCTCAGATTAAGGCTTCGGCAATGGGTTAGGCCCTGGCTTAAGCTGAGGCTTAGGCTTGTTTTCGTTGTATATTGTAATTTCAGGCCTGATCCCACACACTTGGGGCTTCTGCGCCCCTCTCTTCTTTGCTTGCTACTCGAGCTCGGACGCCATCCTAGTCCTGGTGCTGTTTAGGGTATTGCAGCGAATTTTATAGCAACACCAGTTTCTTTAGGTGTACCGTGTCCGCATGCTCGAGATTTTCAAGCTGAAATTCCGGCCGACCAAGGGCAGCTCCAGGATCAGCGGCAGCAACCGGAGCAAGGAGTACAAAGCTACCGACGCCGGATCGAAGGCGTCAAAAACTGGATAGACTTTCTACTAATTATGAATATTATGCCTTGTGTGATTATTATTATCGTGTTAAAGTGGGTCACGTTTCTGTGCAATTTCCTGAAATGCAGGATTTGTAAACGGAATTTGAGAATCTTTCGCATTATATTCTGTTCAGAGCGTCAAGGCCACGAAAATTTCTGAGAGGGAATTGAATGTAACAAAAATGGTGTGTAAACTTTTTCGATATTTTTAATGCTAGTTGTGTTGACGCGGCCGGATCCGATTTTTTCTCGTGATCAGCAACTATTAAATTTATATCTCACGGAGAAACCAGCAAAGTGTACGATATACTTACTGTAGTGTCTTTCCAAAATTCGCTGATTCAACAGCTTGCGAAGAGATTATGAATCACTCAGAATCCACGGGGGGATAACATTCCCACCCTACCAACGCATACATCGGTGTCCAGAAGGACGGTTCCAGTTCCTCCACACTGCTCGTTTTTCCTTGTCTGGCTGTCGTTATCTCATTATTACTTGCGTTCTGTCTCCGCTTCCCGGCCTTGGGATAGGAAGTTCGAGGACCGGAAGCGTCAACATAATTAATTTTTCGAGGGGGTCACAAAAGCAAACAGCGGTACTCAATGGAACGAGAATGGTTGTTGTCGCTGAGTTCCTCTTATGTAGAGCCTGGTTCATTGTAATCAGGAATCGACATGGAAGAATATATTCTCCTATTGCTAGTCCTCATCATAAGCCTAATCGCTAGCCCAAGGCTCGACGCTAGAGCATAAACACGTGCACTTTTTGAAATAGGCGTCAAAATTCTGTTCCCGTTAAAATCAGTGCCGGTGCTGAATTCTAAGATTCCAACAGAAAAACGCTTACGTTTTCCAGTAAGTTGTACTTACCCCGTATGTTTCAATAATTTGCTGTCTGTTTGCGGTATCTTTCCTAATACTACAATAATATTACAGTACCCACCATGGTCGGGTTGCAATGCGATAGCGTTCCACGACCTTGGTACCTCAATCGCTTCCACTTTGGGGGTTATCTCGAATGTGTTTCTCTTATATGTGATCAGCACGGTATCCAAGCCCGAGATGAAGGGACGCCAGACCATGCAGACGATAAATACGTTCTATAATATTTATTACGCGATTCAATGTCGAATCGCTCATGCGGTAAGCTAGGGATTTTGCGTTGCGGATTATTCGGGCTTCTGATTTAAGTTTTTGACCAATTCAATGTGTTTTCAAACTCTAAGGTATTAGTGGCACCTAAGAACCATGTTCAGCAGGTTCAAACAAGCCATCGAAACAAAAATCGGTATAGCTGCCATCGTTTTTATGCACTTTGGTGGTGTCAGCTTTGTCATCTCGTTTTGCTGGATGTGCTGGAGGTATGAGTCAAAAATTGACAGCAAAATTGACTATAAAATTCAGCCAACCCCAACTCGGACCAAATTGTCGTTTGCCGAAACGCAGAAATATTTGAACTACACGATAACGCCGAAGAGCCACTATTGCGGAGCCGCGTTTTCGTTAACAGCGTCTCGACTTTAATTTCGGCGTTTTAAGTACCCCGACTCCGATGGTAAAGAGGTGTACGATTGGATAATGATCTTTGCGACTGCGGGCGCACTGTCGATGTATTCGATTATGTATAACTCGACTCGGAAAGGCGAGTCCAGCACGTCTCTCCGATTCTTCGATTTTGAAATTTTTCGATCATTTACTAATGTTTTTTGCGAAACGCGCGCATTTTCGGATGTTTTTCTGACCAAGGGGTTTTTTACAAAAATCGCCATTTAAGAATTTTCACGCTTTTCCTGGCAGCCCAACGAGAGCTCTTTGAAAGTCATTTGCGAAAACACAGCTTGGATAGAGCTTAAACGCTTTAAATTGCGTGCCAAAGCGTGCCCTTTTTGCTTGAAAAATGCCGAAAATCGAGCAAAAAAATTCCGACATTTCCAGAATCGGTAAGACGTGCTGGACTCGGCTTGCCGGGAGCTTTCGAAAGATCCCAAAATCGCAAAAATCGGAGAGGTCTGCGGCCGGCTAGGGCGGGGGGGATTTTTTTTGGGACACCCTGTATTGTAAGGAAATATGTAATAAACAGCTTAGGTGTTTCTCAGGTATCTCTACGTAAGACGTTCGCTGCAAAGTGCCGGCCGGAAACAGCTTCTCTTCCAATTGTTGCTGTTGTTATTAGCTCAGGTAAGTAGATTTTGTACTTTCTTATACCTAAGTTTAGACTCCAATGTTTGCGTGGTTTAACTTCACTGATACTTAGCTTAAAAAAAAAGACAAATTTTTTTCGAAAAACGCTCGCGGCTACCCCTAGGCCGAAAATCCGGATTACTCACAAAATGCTTTCCATTTTTTCACCTCGGTTGGTGGAACCTCCCAGGAATTTTGAAAAAATGTTCATCTCGTTTCCACCACACTTAGTCCGTATTCTTTCTACGCAAAACCTACAAATTCAACGGCGCGGAAAGTGCTGCCGTATTTCTTGGGAACTGCGATATGGAAATCGCCTGTCTATCACATGACTTTCGCTTTTAACCCGTTTCTGGCATAATATTCGAATTCACCTGAGCGTCAAGTGTAGCGAACTTGCGGCTCGGACTTCAGAAAGCGCCAAAACAAGTAAAAAAATATTTTCGGTAGGCTTACGTGGCGTTTCGGCGATGCTGGATTCGGAGGAATTTGTTGTCCCAGACTGAATTAAGGTTGCTTTCACCGCATCGGAAGACCTAGTCATTTCTGTAGTACATTTTCGTGCCACCTTTGAATTATCGTGAGAAATCTACACACTAGCTACTCCTGTTATCAGACCGATGAACCCTCTAAACTTACCAAATGCTTTGTGCCGCCCTAAATTCCCGCGCTATTCGAAAGTGTGTGGTATATTTCCCGACGCCCTTCTCGGAGGCCGTGACGTTTTTTGGAACTCGTTGTTTTCTTTACAAGGAGTGATTTGTAGGTGCTATGTGGTTTCACCTTGTAATATAACCCATTCGATAGAGCTTGAAACTTGCGACAAATCCCATCGTTCGAAGCCTTCGGGAAATAGGTTTGTTTCGCTCATGTCAAAAATCGAACCTTTCAGAGCGAATTTTCCCGAAAACCGTAGTCCTCGAGCAGTTTTGAAAGGATGGGATATGCTCAGAATTTGAAGCTCTATCAGATGGGCTCGGTCACATCAAAAATCTCCAATATCACCGAAAAAAGCGGTCCTATTGGCTTTCTGAGTTCATAAATTTAAGCGCATGATCTTTTTTATTAGTGCTAAAAAGAGTGTTGTCTTTATCATATTTTCCTTTCCTTGCCGCTAAAATATTTTCTAGATAACCACGTTTTTCGCACTTGCATAAAAGGTTTTAGCGAACTTTGCCTTGAAAGATGCAATGTTCTCTCGAATTCAACGATTACGGCGCTACTGTAGCAGCCATCCTGGGCGTCGGCTCAAACATTTTTCTACTCTATGTCATCGCTACCGTATCTCACCACGAAATGAAAGGCCGGCAAGCTATGCAAATAATCATTACTTTGTATAATATATATTATTCTATCGCGCTCCGCATCATACATCCGGTAGACAAATTTGAACATGATTTGGGAGGTCAGAAGCTTTTTTCTAGGCCCATATCATGGACAAATATGGTTGGATCATATTCTCACGTTCATTTATCGACTCTTATATCGGTTCTTGGGTGGCGATGGCCATTCATATCACGGGATTTGCACAAGTGTTATCACTATTGCTGATTCATTGTTTTTATCGGTATATTCAGATTACAGGGTACGAATTTCAGAAACCGTTTGTAATCAAAATTTCTCGAATTGCCGAGGTTTAGCAATCAAAGTATTTTTAGAAAATGCCGTTCCGCGATTAACACAAAAACTGGGGTGATTAGTATTGTGTCGGCTCACATCCTGATGTGTTGCGTGGTGGAAACTTGTTGCTTTTGGGCTCTGGAGGTAAATTCTAAACTTGCCTGTAGATTCCTTCATTTTCCACTCGACGCGAGATAAAGAGACAGAGAGATAGTGAAAGACGATAGGGAGAGAGAGAGAGAAAGGGAGAGAAAGATGAGAGAGAGAGAGAGAGAGAGAGAGAGAGAGAGAGAGAGAGGGAGATATAGAGAAAGTTAGATAAAGAACGGAATAGTAGCGATACCTAGCCACGCCAATCAAAATTTCAGCCCACCGAGACTCGTACGCTACTTTCCATGGTTGACGCTAAGGAAACCCTCCACATCACCATCAAACCGAACACTTATTATTACGGAGCCGCGTTTACGGTAAATCTACCTTTATATTAATCGGAGGCAGTTTTTCCTAAAATCCTATTTGAATTTTAGTACCCCGGGCCGAGTGGCTCCACGATCTACAACTGGCAAATCATCATTGCCACCGGCATTGCGATTGCGGCTTATTGCACCATGTACTTCACGGCTTGCGTGATTGGCGTCAGACTGTAAGTCCAGTGATAGAAAATTAAGCAATAATACTTGTAATTGCGTAGGTATCAGTTTGTGAAGCTCTCCCTTCAAAGCAAGGCCCGGAAGCGTCTGCTATCACAGCTTTTGCTGTTATTACTGGCTCAGGTTTAATAGGCGCAACTTTTGAACTTTTTTTTAGGCCATCTCTCCGTTCTTTTGGGAATTAATTCCAGGATTTGTCGTGCTACTTGGTGGTCTATTCGGTAATAGAACGAAAAAGCTTCAAAAACCTGAAAAAATTCAGGTCTACCTCATAACTGGGGCTTGTGCGCCACGGTTTATATGGCCGGCTACTCGACCAGTGATGCCGTGTTGGCGTTGATGTTGTTTAAGGTGTGCTCCATCTACTTAGTATGAGCAGTATCCACCCTTTTAGGCCTATCGCCGCCGCACCATCGAAATCCTGCTGCGCGGAAGATGTCGCGGACGTGTGCACCAATTCGCCACCAGCACAACCATTGAAAATACCACCGACGTCCCACCCAGCGGGAACAGGATTCAAGGCTTTTGAACGTGACTACATGGTTATGAAAATATACGATTTTGCATATTGTGCTTGGCAGAAGCGATCGGTCAAAATCTAGTTTACCCCTGGCCGCGCCGCTGGCCTTTCTATTAATTAACGCACCGATTATAGCAAACCAGATGGTTCCAGTCGCTTCGCGACTGCAACCATCTGGCCTTCGGGCAACCCTACATGTCCTACTCCACCGCATCCTTCCCTACCTCCATCAATACCCACGCTAATCGCTTCAGATACCCCCCATAGCCGAACACCCCTTCAAAAACTACTTAAATACCTTCCTGATGGCTTCAGATACCCCCCATAGCTGAAATACCCTTCAAAAACTACCTAAATACCTTCCTGATGGCTTCAGATACCCCCATAGCTGAAATACCCTTCAAAACTACCTAAATACCTTCCTGATGGCTTCAGATACCCCCCAGAGCCAAAATCCCCTTTAAAAACTACCTAAATACCTTCCTGATGGCTTCAGATACCCCCCAGAGCCAAAATCCCCTTCAAAAACTACCTAAATACCTTCCTGATGGCTTCAGATACCCCCCAGAGCCAAAATCCCCTTCAAAAACTACCTAAATACCTTCCTGATGGCTTCAGATACCGCCCAGAGCCAAAATCCCCTTCAAAAACTACCTAAATACCTTCCTGATGGCTTCAGATACCCCCATAGCTGAAATACCCTTCAAAAACTACCTAAATATCTTCCTGATGGCTTCAGATACCCCCCAGAGCCAAAATCCCCTTCAAAAACTACCTAAATACCTTCCTGATGGCTTCAGATACCCCCAGAGCCAAAATCCCCTTCAAAAACTACCTAAATACCTTCCTGATGGCTTCAGATACCCCCATGGCTGAAATCCCCTTCAAAAACTACCTAAATACCTTCCTGATGGCTTCAGATACCCCCATAGCTGAAATACCCTTCAAAAACTACCTAAATACCTTCCTGATGGCTTCAGATACCCCCCAGAGCCAAAATCCCCTTCAAAAACTACCTAAATACCTTCCTGATGGCTTCAGATACCCCCATGGCTGAAATCCCCTTCAAAAACTACCTAAATAACTTCCTGATGGCTTCAGATACCCCCCATAGCTGAAATCCCCTTCAAAAACTACCTAAATACCTTCCTGATGGCTTCAGATACCCCCATAGCTGAAATACCCTTCAAAACTACCTAAATACCTTCCTGATGGCTTCAGATACCCCCATAGCTGAAATACCCTTCAAAACTACCTAAATACCTTCCTGATGGCTTCAGATACCCCCCATAGCTGAAATACCCTTCAAAAACTACCTAAATACCTTCCTGATGGCTTCAGATACCCCCCATAGCTGAAATACCCTTCAAAAACTACCTAAATACCTTCCTGATGGCTTCAGATACCCCCCATAGCTGAAATACCCTTCAAAAACTACCTAAATACCTTCCTGATGGCTTCAGATACCCCCATAGCTGAAATACCCTTCAAAAACTACCCTAAATACCTTCCTGATGGCTTCAGATACCCCCCATAGCTGAAATACCCTTCAAAAACTACCCTAAATACCTTCCCTGATGGCTTCAGATACCCCCCATAGCTGAAATACCCTTCAAAAACTACCTAAATACCTTCCTGATGGCTTCAGATACCCCCCATAGCTGAAATACCCTTCAAAAACTACCTAAATACCTTCCTGATGGCTTCAGATACCCCCCAGAGCCAAAATCCCCTTCAAAAACTACCTAAATACCTTCCTGATGGCTTCAGATACCCCCATGGCTGAAATACCCTTCAAAAACTACCTAAATACCTTCCTGATGGCTTCAGATACCCCCATGGCTGAAATCCCCTTCAAAAACTACCTAAATACCTTCCTGATGGCTTCAGATACCCCCCATAGCTGAAATCCCCTTCAAAAAACTACCTAAATACCTTCCTGATGGCTTCAGATACCCCCCAGAGCTGAAAATCCCCTTCAAAAACTACCTAAATACCTTCCTGATGGCTTCAGATACCCCCCATGGCTGAAATCCCCTTCAAAAACTACCTAAATAACTTCCTGATGGCTTCAGATACCCCCCATAGCTGAAATCCCCTTCAAAAACTACCTAAATACCTTCCTGATGGCTCAGATACCCCCATAGCTGAAATACCCTTCAAAATACCTAAATACCTTCCTGATGGCTTCAGATACCCCCATGGCTGAAATCCCTTCAAAAACTACCTAAATACCTTCCTGATGGCTTCAGATACCCCCATAGCTGAAATCCCTTCAAAAACTACCTAAATACCTTCCTGATGGCTTCAGATACCCCCATAGCTGAAATCCCTTCAAAAACTACCTAAATACCTTCCTGATGGCTTCAGATACCCCCATAGCTGAAATACCCTTCAAAACTACCTAAATACCTTCCTGATGGCTTCAGATACCCCCATGGCTGAAATACCCTTCAAAAACTACCTAAATACCTTCCTGATGGCTTCAGATACCCCCCATAGCTGAAATACCCTTCAAAAACTACCTAAATACCTTCCTGATGGCTTCAGATACCCCCATAGCTGAAATCCCTTCAAAAACTACCTAAATACCTTCCTGATGGCTTCAGATACCCCCCATGGCTGAAATCCCCTTCAAAAACTACCTAAATACCTTCCTGATGGCTTCAGATACCCCCAATGGCTGAAATCCCTTCAAAAAACTACCTAAATACCTTCCTGATGGCTTCAGATACCCCCAGGGCCGAAATCCCTTCAAAAACTACCTAAATACCTTCCTGATGGCTTCAGATACCCCATGGCTGAAATACCCTTCAAAAACTACCTAAATACCTTCCTGATGGCTTCAGATACCCCTAATGGCTGAAATCCCTTCAAAAACTACCTAAATACCTTCCTGATGGCTTCAGATACCCCCAATAGCTGAAATACCCTTCAAAACTACCTAAATAACTTCCTGATGGCTTAGATACCCCCAAGGGCCGAAATCCCTTCAAAAACTACCTAAATACCTTCCTGATGGCTTCAGATACCCCCATGGCTGAAATCCCCTTCAAAAACTACCTAAATAACTTCCTGATGGCTTCAGATACCCCCATGGCTGAAATCCCTTCAAAAACTACCTAAATACCTTCCTGATGGCTTCAGATACCCCCATGGCTGAAATACCCTTCAAAAACTACCTAAATACCTTCCTAGATGGCTTCAGATACCCCCATAGCTGAAATACCCTTCAAAAACTACCTAAATACCTTCCTGATGGCTTCAGATACCCCCATAGCTGAAATACCCTTCAAAAACTACCTAAATACCTTCCTGATGGCTTCAGATACCCCAATAGCTGAAATCCCCTTCAAAAACTACCTAAATACCTTCCTGATGGCTTCAGATACCCCCAATGGCTGAAATCCCTTCAAAAACTACCTAAATACCTTCCTGATGGCTTCAGATACCCCCAATAGCTGAAATACCCTTCAAAAACTACCTAAATACCTTCCTGATGGCTTCAGATACCCCCAATGGCTGAAATACCCTTCAAAAACTACCTAAATACCTTCCTGATGGCTTCAGATACCCCCATGGCTGAAATCCCCTTCAAAAACTACCTAAATACCTTCCTGATGGCTTCAGATACCCCCCATAGCTGAAATACCCTTCAAAAACTACCTAAATACCTTCCTGATGGCTTCAGATACCCCCATGGCTGAAATACCCTTCAAAAACTACCTAAATACCTTCCTGATGGCTTCAGATACCCCCCATAGCTGAAATACCCTTCAAAAACTACCTAAATACCTTCCTGATGGCTTCAGATACCCCCCATAGCTGAAATCCCCTTCAAAAACTACCTAAATACCTTCCTGATGGCTTCAGATACCCCCCCATGGCTGAAATCCCCTTCAAAAACTACCTAAATACCTTCCCTGATGGCTTCAGATACCCCCATGGCTGAAATACCCTTCAAAACTACCTAAATACCTTCCTGATGGCTTCAGATACCCCCCATGGCTGAAATACCCTTCAAAAACTACCTAAATACCTTCCTGATGGCTTCAGATACCCCCAATAGCTGAAATACCCTTCAAAAACTACCTAAATACCTTCCCTGATGGCTTCAGATACCCCCCATGGCTGAAATACCCTTCAAAAACTACCTAAATACCTTCCTGATGGCTTCAGATACCCCCAAGGCTGAAATCCTTCAAAAACTACCTAAATACCTTCCTGATGGCTTCAGATACCCCCAATGGCTGAAATCCCCTTCAAAAACTACCTAAATACCTTCCTGATGGCTTCAGATACCCCCAAGGCCGAAATCCCCTTCAAAACTACCTAAATACCTTCCCTGATGGCTTCAGATACCCCCAATGGCTGAAATCCCCTTCAAAAACTACCTAAATAACTTCCTGATGGCTTCAGATACCCCCAATGGCTGAAATCCCCTTCAAAAACTACCTAAATACCTTCCTGATGGCTTCAGATACCCCCAAGGCTGAAATCCCCTTCAAAAACTACCTAAATACCTTCCTGATGGCTCAGATACCCCCATGGCTGAAATCCTTCAAAAACTACCTAAATAACTTCCTGATGGCTTCAGATACCCCCATGGCTGAAATCCCTTCAAAACTACCTAAATACCTTCCTGATGGCTCAGATACCCCCAGGGCCAAAATCCCCTTCAAAAACTACCTAAATACCTTCCTGATGGCTTCAGATACCCCCATGGCTGAAATCCCCTTCAAAAACTACCTAAATACCTTCCTGATGGCTTCAGATACCCTCCATAGCCAAATCCCTTCAAAAACTACTTAGATTCCATCCCGATGCTTTAAATGATTTAAATAATTAATTAACATAATTAAAAAAGTATTAAAAGTATTAAAAAATAAGCAACTTAAAAGCTATTTGGACGCGGGAAGGGCCTGGGGAAGAAGGGCGAAGGGAAAGGGGGCGTGGCCTCCCGGGAAAGGGCCCCCACCCCTTTTACTAAGGAAAAAACTTTCAAA